ATGGACTCTCACCCCCTCCCTGGACTGGTACCTCACTACACCATCGGACCTGACCTCCCAGCACCCGTCGGATGAAGCCTCTGACAGCAATGGGGCTCACTCATTGCACTCACCTGCATCCTTCCCCGCTAAAACTTCGCCGGCTCACAGAGAGAGGAACTGGGAGAGACTGCTGCAAGCTCTGCCCACACTTGCTGATTTGGCGGCTGTCAACAGCACCTTGCAAGCCTCCATCAGGCTGGACATCCAGGCCCTCAGGGATGACATCTAGGGCCTTGGGGACCCCGTAGGCCACGTGGAGACCGCATGTGATGAGCTGCGATCAGCACACAGCCAGGCAGGAGATACCCTGACTCGACATGAGGTATGGCGCTCCCTGTGGCAGACCTGGATAATAGGGGGAGGTGAAAAAACTTAAGGCTTAGAGGCCTTTCAGAGGTAGAAACAGACCCCCTCACACCTCCACATCATCCTGAAGGAGATCTTCAATGGCCTACTGGACAGGGAACCCACCTCACCTCTTAATCTTGTGAGAGCCCACCGTGCTTTACGCCCAAAGGGACCCCCAGAAGCACCACCAATATGCTGCCTGGAGGTGTTCGCCGAAAAAGAATCCATCCTCAAGGCGGCGAGGGAGACGGAAGTTCTGCGCTACAGGCACTCTGAGCTCCAGTTATACCGTGACCTCTACCCAGCTACATTGCAATATAGGAGACTACTCAGACCCTTGACCCGAGCACTACAGGTGGCGGGGACGAGGTAACGTGGCTTTTCCCATCTGGCCTGTCATTGACTACGCCGGGGGACTTATAGTGGTGCGCACCCACATGGATTTCATACACTTGGGGACCCTCATATCCATACCCCCGCTAAACATGAGGTTGCCTGACCCCTCTGATTTCTACCTGCCTGACATGCTGGGACCGCCAGCCTTGCCCCAGAGGGATCGGCGACCGTGCCAAGCAACAACCTGTGCTGCAGGAGTCCCTTCATAATAAAGACTTTGTCCCTACAGTCCCTCCTGCACGGAGCTCACCACCCTGGACCTGCTATAGATGACTCATCAGCCTGACTGTCCCCACCCACGATGACGACAACTTTGAACGCCAGCTGATGACCGGCAACTGAGAACCGTACGATACCTCCCTTCCTTCTCCCCCTCCCACCCTTCCTCCTCCCTCCCCCTCCTCCTCCCTCCCTCCCTTCCTTTTCCCCCTCCCTTCCTTTTCCCCCTCCCTTCCTTTTCCCCCTCCCTTCCTTTTCCCCTTCCTTCCATTTCCCCTTCCTTCATTTCCCCCCTTTTCTTCCTTCTCTCCTTTCTGCCTTCTCTCCCTTTCTGCCTTCTCTCCTTTCTGCCTTCTCTCCTTTCTGCCTTCCTCTCCCTTTCCTTCTCTCCCTTTCTGCCTTCCTCTCCTTTCTGCCTTCTCTCCTTTCCTGCCTTCTCTCCCTTTCTGCCTTCTCTCCCTTTCTGCCTTCTCTCCCTTTCTGCCTTCTCTCCTTTCTTCCCCTTTTCCCTTTCTTCCTTTCTTCCTTCCTCCTCCCTCCCTTTCTTCCTTCTCTCGCCTCCCTCCCTTTCTTCCTTCTCTCGCCTCCCTCCCTTTCTTCCTTCTCTCGCCTCCCTCCCTTTCTTCCTTCTCTCCCCTCCCTCCCTTTCTTCCTTCTCTCCCCTTTCTTTCCTCTCCCCCCTCCCTTTCTTCCTTCTCCTGCCCTTTTCTTTTCCCCTTCCTGTCCCTCCCTTCTCCCCACTCCCTCCCTTCTTTCCCCCACTCCTTCAACAGACCGCACGACTACACCTTCGGTGGGGGCAGCGAAGACGGTGATCTCTACGACAATGTGGACACACCCAAGGTGGCTTTTGCATGCTTCCAGGTGCCGTGGACCGGGAACTCGCACCACCCAGGACTGGACTTAACACCCAACATGGTGCCCACCGTGCCTGCTGGCCTACCTGTACTGCGACCACTACCCATTACGTGGCCTGGCACGCACCACGCAGAACGCTGCAGCACCTCACCCTGCACTGATGTAACTGGAAAGCCTGCCTCACCTGTCAACGTCAGGCACCGGCTGAGACTATTGGACTGATGACCGGCAACTGAGCCCAAATCTACAGCCTCAACTTCACCCCGTTGCTAAACAATTTCAAGAGAAACCTTGAAGAATGGAAATTACCACACTTGTCCTGGCTTCGCCACATAGTGGTGATAAAAATTAATCTCCTCCCTCGCATATTGTACCTGTTCCAGACACTCCGCATACAGATCCCGACAGCGTTCGTCACATCTTTGAGGTCTCTGATGATTAAGTACATTTGGAGAGCAAAAACCGGGTCGCAAGAGTATTCTGAAAACGGACAGCAACTAAAATAGCCTGCCCTTTGGTGGGTCCCCGCTCAGAACTCAAGCTAGTTTTAGCTCATCTTGTGCCATTACAGAGAGAACATATCTGAAGCATATCAGACTGGTCCCACCCAAATGGGCAGTCCAGATCCGAAATGCCAGCAAGTTCTCTCTGCACGAGAGATACAGCAACCCCAGATGATCATTTCAGCCTTGTTAGGCATCATCAGTGAGGCATAGCTGTGCCTCACTGATGATGCCTAACAAGGCTGAAACGATCTGATGAGCTTAGGAGCGAAACGCGCGTCAGGGCAACCATAGACATTGGCAACTAGAGCTAATAGGAGCTTATAAAATCGACCACACATTTAGGGCAACAAGAATAATTGGGAACTAGCTACAATAGGAATGTATCGAATTGACTACAAATCTATTTAGATGTAGCAACAGGATTAATTTGTACATATAGCAGTGCTGGCATGAATTTCGGTTGCGTGTGTGTATGGCAATATTGTGTATGTATGTATGCCTGTATGTATGTATGTATATATATATATATATATATATATATATATATATATATATATATATATATATATATATATATATATATATATATATATATTTCCAGTCTAGCACTTTCACCTAATTACTCTATCTCCAGTTATAGGTTACTTCATCTATATACTTATACTCTTTAACATGGGAGGAGTGAATTCTCGCTTATCAGATTCCAATTAGGGAAAGTATTTTGGGATAAGGAGTGCCCTCGAAGGCACAGTAGGGAAAGTTCGGATACACCTCTATATTTTAGATAGACATTCTCTTTTTCCCCTTCCTTTATATTTTAGATAAGTAAAACCTTAGCTTTAGAACGCCTCAATATCAGTACAATTATTCTGATACTTAAGCTTAGTTCTCTCTAGAGGATCCATAAGAAGCTACGATTCCTTGGATATGATAGATCCATAAAGAGTTAAATAACGATAAAATGATTATTGGTCTATATTTAGCTTCTTATTATACTCTTCTAGACATTATTTAATAGCCTTCATTAGCGTATATTTGAATAAGTTACATTTATATTTAGTCACTGATAAACTATTTTCTTATATCTTGCGGCAACTTTGTTAGCAATTTAGTTACCATTCCTACCTGCACTGTTACGGTGCGTTATTTGTGTAGGCAACCTACGGTCACTAATTTTTGTATTAAGTCAAAGTAATATTGCAAAAGATGCTCCTTATACACAAATAACTAAGGATGCTAGCAAATTTAAATAACTATGGATATGAGATATTACGAGCTATTTTAGCAGTAAGTGTTGCACGATCTTGGCTGAAAGCGCAGTTTGGCTACTATTATCTAGCTTGTTTGCATATGCTATTTTTATTTCTATTTCATTGAAAGTGTGGTCAACTCCTAATAATTATATATTGCTCTTAGTTGCTTAGATTTCACCTAGAATTGCATCCCAGGAACATTTGTCAGTATCTAACTGCAGTAGATATTGACAAACAAAGATTTCTGGGCACGATCCTGTATATAATTAAAATATCGTTTTAGATCACAATGTTTTGATATTTCGTTTTTTATTTTAGTTTGTGTGCATTGTATAGCCCCTATTTACAAGGGGGCTTTTTAAGAGATTGATTAAAAGTAACGTTTAAGTTCATTTTCGTTTTTTCCAATATTGGGATCCAGTCAGATTAAAAGTTATTCCCTTGTTATACCATCAAATTTACTGCTACCTCCAACTTTTCTCTTTTCTTAAAACCAGCTTGAGTTCTGAGCGGGGACCCACCGAAGGGCAGGCTATTTTAGCTGCTGTCCATTCCCAGAATACTCTTGCGACCCATTTTATGCTCTCCATTCATTTAAAGGGTAATCCAGATGTGGACCCCTTGCTCACGATGCCTAAAGAGATATCAGCTATGCCTCACTGATGATGCCTAACAAGGCTGAAACGATCGTCTGGGGTTGCTGTGTCTCTCGTGCAGAGAGAACTTGCTGGCATTTCGGATCTGGACTGCCCGTATGGGTGGGACCAGTCTGATATTGTTCAGATATGTTCTCTCTGTAATGGCACAATATGAGCTAAAAGAGTTCTGAGCGGGGACCCACCGAAGGGCAGGCTATTTTAGCTGCTGTCCATTCTCAGAATACTCTTGCGACCCATTTTTTGCTCTCCATTAAGTACATTTGGGGCCTGGGCACGCCGAGGCTGAAATATCTAACACTCAGGAAACTCGAGGGCGGACTGGCAGTCCTTGACTTTCGGCTGTACTATCAGGCCTCCCACCTGCAACGCGTGCTGGAATGGGTCAAAGACGGAGTAATCAAACATTGGAAGGAGATAGAGAAAGCCCAAACCGGCGGTTCCCTGAAAGCGCTGACATGGATGACTCCAACCACAGGAAGACGTATGTCGCAACATCAACCAGGGCCGTCTATAATATGATTAGGACCCTGGGCAATGCATTTTCTTGGGCCCTGTCCCTGCCTCACCCCCCAATTACGTCCAACCCGCAATCACACTGACAGACGTACTGGCACATACACACACACACAGACAGACATTAAAACATTCACAGATACATACTGACACACACAGTCACTACACACAAATATATACTGGCAGACATACTGACACACATACAGACATACATACATACATTAACAGATATACTGACACACAAACACATACACTGACAGATATACTAAAACACACAGACACATACACTGACAGACACATTGACACACACACAGGCATACTGACATACACACTGACACACACACACACGCATACTGACATATACACAGACAGACGTAATGACTGATACAGACAGACATTAAAACATTCACAGATATATACTGACACACACATACACTGACATACAAATATATCCTGGCAGACATACGGGGACACACACACACACAGACATACATACATACATACACACACAGACACATACACTGACAGACATACTGACTGACACACACATACACACACAGACATGCTTACATACACACACAGACATACTGACACACAAAGACATGCTGACACACACATACAGACATACTGACATACACACAGACAGATGTACTGGCACATACACACAGACAGACATTAAAACATTCACAGATACATACTGACACACACATACACTGACACACAAATATATCCTGGCAGACATACTGACACACACGTACACACACACACAGAGACATACCTACATACACACACACTGACATACTGGCATACACACAGACATACTGACACACACACACACACTGACATACTGACACACACACACACACACACTGACATATACACACAGACATACTGACACAGACATACTGACACACACACAGACATACTGACATACACACAGACATACTGACATACACACAGACATACTGACATACACACAGACATGCTGACACACAAAGACATGCTGACACACACATACAGACATACTGACATACACACAGACAGA